GCTGGCTTTTGATCAGAACCATTGTTGAACAGAATGGACCTGGAATCGATACCTCCGTAGCTCGGAAGGGATACAATTACTTACTCAAGTAGTGGCTCAAAAATACTGTGCATATTAGAATCAACAATTTTGCCCCTTAAAGGGGGGGGCTTTAAATCAGATGCCACAAACGGAGGCCCTCGTTTTTAATGGCCACTTGGGTCAATTCCCAGATGCAAAGGCAAGAGTTGGATCCACAGGTAAATGACAATTCCGGGTTTTCGCTTGCACGGATCCCCGGATCGGTGGCATTGATCCGCTCGCAAAATCGCATCTGGAATAGAAAGTGGGATCCCCCAAGGAACCAACTCATCGCAGGGGATCCCTGAAGATGGTTCCCTGGAGGTCATTCCCCTTCTCTCACTCCCTGACTTGCTGGACTTCAGTCTTATTTTTTGGGAAGACGACAAAAAAACCAAAAAACAATTCAACGGACCTTTGGCCCAAAAAGTCACAAACGGCACGACTTCACGGACTTTTGGCCCAATGTCTGGAAGTGAGTCGTGGGTTTCCCCCCAAGAAACTCGTGGCTTCCAGGCGGTGCCAGAGATGGACCACCTCGTGGCCGCCTGCGGGAACTGCGCGGCCCGGCGCCGGGCCGCCGTGGCCCGCGCCAAGGCGGGGGACGGCATCAGCACCCAGAACCCCGGGATCCGCGTACGGCCGTAACGCAAGGCCGGAAGTGCACCAAAGCCTTCACAACCATATCGGATGAAAACCAAGCCCTGACGCGTTTTGGCATTGACCGATTTCATGGACCCCCCCTCCCCCCCCCAAGAGAAAAGGACATGGCAAAAAGCAGTTTTAGAGGAGTCTATGTGTTTTGCAGGGCAGTGTCGTTTACTCGTTTTGTTGTTACGTACAAGTAGACGCACAAAGACAACACGCGTATAAATCCATTGGCATATATAAAGTAGATACATCAATCACTTAATACATTAAACAAGCACATAATCAATAAAGCAATACACTTATGAAACATATATATATATGTATATATCCTACATACAGAGTTGGCATCCACCCAATCCGAGGCCCAATGTCTAGCCCTGCTCGAGGCAGCCATCGAGGCGAACGACGCGGAAGAGCGCGCCAGTGCCGTGGGCCTCGTGCAGGACTGTCGCGCCAAGTGAAAACTTGGTCTGTCTGATTTGGAGGGCTCACCATTTGATAGCTGCCCGAAGAGAGAAACACAACAACAAGAACTGTGCAAGCCGCAAAAGGTGTTGAAGGTCGGAAGCGGATGCTTTTTTGGGGCTAATCATGGCAAAAGGGAAGATACCCACCAGAGGTTCAAACCCAAGAATCGCCCAGAACCTATTGGCCATTTGTCTATGTTCTACTAACTGGGGGTAGAATCAAGCCACAACCCTTTATAGCCATTTTAGTAGAAGCAAACGTCAATGGGTGCTGGGCGCTGCTCGAATGGCTTGTGTCAAAGGAAAGCCCCAGTAGTCCCCTGGTGTAAAGTCTCCTTCAAAACGGTCTTATATTTCGGATAGACTAAATGGGTCTGTCTCTATTTGGGGTACCTGCGTTTCGGTAGTTTGACAAACCCAAATGTGAAACAGATTCACGAGATATTGTATTTTCTGTGCACTCTAGAGGTGGCCCAAGTTTGGGTGGTTCAACATGCTTCCGCAAGAGGTGAAAGTGGTGTCCCTTGTAGTGATGTCCCACTACGGATTACGCATGCTCCCTTTGGCTGGCTTAAACGTCACATTTTGAACCAATGTTGATTGAGTTCCCTTTGGCGGGGTGATACTTATAGGGGACATGCAAGGAACAATGTGTTCTTGTTGTTTCAGTTTGGTTGATGCATTTCACTGGTTTCAGCAAAGCTTCGGGTGTCTCCCGACAACCCCTGCGCTGAGGTCACCTACTTGGGGCACCGCACAGTTTTTCCTGTTTTTCTTTTTTCAAGAAAGCACTTGGCCAAAGCCGGCCTTGTCACCTCGTAAATTGGTTCATAGTGGGTCAAGATTCCAAAAGCTCTGATCTTCTATTTCAAATCCTTTAGGCACGTGAGAGCGAGAACCCAAAGCTTGCAAGGAGTCATTGCTAACTACACGCATCGCAGTTCATGGCACGATTTCTTTGCCTTGGAGTCCGGCAAGAGCAACACCCTTGGACGCGCTGGGATTCGGTCCAGGAAGCCCTTTCTCCCCCAAGCCGTCGGGAGCTGAGACGTGAGCCGAACGGGTCGCGGTGCATCCAGCAGCCCCCGACTGGTTTGTTCCCATGTCCAAAACCCGACGTGACCAGAAAACAGTCATTGGGGGGTGCTCGGATGGGTGGGGGGGGGTGTAATTATTCCGTTTGGAATGTCCTTTTCTTTTCTGGGACCTGCAACAGGCCGTACGTTTCATTTGACCTTATTTGGTCAGTAACTTGATCACTCAAGGGAAATCCTTCAAGGTGGCTCCTTGAGTTGCCAAAAGCGCAACAGCTGCAAAGTGCCTCCCAACGCCACCGGATTAATTGAGAGAAGGACCCCCGAACAAATCACGTTTGGGGAACGGAATCTCTCTTGGGATCCTAGTTTCCTCTCGTGCACCCTGCAATTCTGCTCGCTCCCTGGTTTCTAATCGGGGAATTGTAGCACTTGTTTGTGCGATTCGCCATCGTTCAGTGGCATTTCCGTACTAGGTCCCCCCCAGTAGTGCCCTTCTACCCTTTTTTGGGGGAGGGTTCCCCTACTAAAATAGACTACAGAAAAAGGGTACCCTTATTCTAAACTCCCTGCTGGAGGACCTGGTCCAATTTTGTGCGCCAAGCACCACACACGCACTGCAAGCCCAGCCGAGGGGTGGATTTCCCGCGGATCACGGAGATCTGCCAGCGGGTGGCTGACCGGCCGGACGAGGCGGAAGTGGCCAGCAGGTGTTGTGTCGGGGGCTTGTGGGCGCCCCCGACTTCCAGGAAAAGGGGTAGGCTATGGTAGGCTCATCTGACCTCTGAAGTGCGAAGATTCGTTGTTCGAGCGGTGAGGGTCGAACAGCCTGACTCTTTGGAGACCTGAGTCTTGGCTGCTTTGCATGTCATCGCAATTACGGCGCCTGAGTCAGACTTTACAAAGTATACGGCTTCCCAAATGCCATTTAGGGCGTTAGAAGGACATGTGTGTTCACATGAATTCCTCCATGAATGCGCTTTTGGAGCACCCCCATCCATTGTTTGCCAGTCTCAGTTGATATGGCGCTAACGCTAGAAATTCAGCGAACGTTTGCCCAATTGCCCAATGCGATGCGGATCTTGCACCAAATGATCTCTTGTGCTTTGATCTTGCCCATGAGGTGTTGCTTTCTCAGTGTATTCCTGACCCTAAAAGTTCTCCCACCTCCGATTGCAGGCGTGTGTCCAGTGATGTGACATGTTTGGGTCAAGTCTCTAGAGACTGGGGGCGATGCACCGGTTTGAGCGTTTTTGTGTACAAGCAAAGATTTTCGAGCGCAGGTTGCCGGTAGGGGCCTCAACGGAATGGATTCTGGAACTGTTACAAGTGCCCGGGACCTTTTTCAAAACGAGTGGACGGTGAGAGGAAAGAAGCCGACTTCCGCAACATCTGGAGCAAAGCAAGACTGGCGGGCTTCCCCAAATGGACCCCGTTTGGTGGCGTGAGTTTTGGAAGACAAACTACCTTCTGTTTGGGGTTGAAGGGAGGGCAACAATTGCAGACACGCTTTGTGTGGTGCTTCCATGCAAAACAAAACTGGTCCCTCAAAAGGAGATTGCTGGAAAGAGGGTTGGGGGGGAGGGGTTGGAGTTTCCTTTGCATTTCTCTACATATTTGTCGGTGCCCTTTGTATTCTTTCCCCCTAAGGACACCAAGAATCACTATTTTGACATCCTAAATCCATTTTGGTTGGTGTTAGGGGTAGATGTTTAACGGCACACCAAAAAGGAAACCACCCAGATTGGATTGAGGGCATAGCCCACCCTAAATCCGTTTTGATAAGCCACGTTTGGTGCCCTGGGAGACCCCACTGGAGCTTCCAAAAATCCGCAGGCAGAGCAGAGCGCCGCGTTGCTGTGGGCGGCCTTCGCCTCTGATGAGGCCCAAAGGAAACGAACACCTAGGGCCCTTGGGTTGCATATATATATATATATGTTGCATATATATATATATATATTTATATCATGTATTTATGTATATATATATATATATGTATATATGTTTTTCACAAAATGGTTGGTCTCCTTTTGGTGTTGCCTTTAAAACCATCCAAACGTGGTAGACTTCCCTGAGCCTTGTGGACCGACCGAACCGGGACCAGTACGAGGTGTCTTTCATGGTGATCTTTTCAATTATTTTTGGGAACGTTGGACAGTCCCTTGCCACAGGGTATGATTGGGCTGTAAAATAAACTGGGCGAACCCGCTCACCGGCTTGCTTTTGCTTAGCCAAAGACAAGGACGCAACAATTCTAATGGCTTTTGCATGGTATCTGCCAAATCGGAGGTCTGGGCCACTCCAACAGGGAGGGTTCAGGGCCAAACCTCCGGTGCTTTCCGCAGGACAATGCCGAGGTGCCTCGAAGGCAGCTCAAGGCGCGAAATTCGGCTGATGGGTAGTGGGGATTCCCCCAAAGGGGTTGGGCGATTGACTTGCTAAGGTTGAATCAAATGGGGTCTTGGAAATGCACCCGACTTCCTAGGAAACCACCGATGGACGTTTTTCAGGCCAGGGGTCATTCCTCACAGAACCAGCAAGTCTCTATAAAACAAATGAAAGGAAGCACAGACCAGCCCTTTCCATTCCACGTGTCACAATCAGAGCTATCGTTTCCAGCCTTAGTATGCTTGTTGAATTTCTTGCAGAGGTCGAAGTCTGGCCCAGATATGGTACAGATGGTTTCATGTTGGTTGCCCTGTTGAAACCGCCCTCGAAAGGATCCCTGGCCATTCTTTGGGCATGCATCGGCAAGATCAAATCGACAAGATAATGTCAACGCCGAGTAGTTTCACTTTCACTTGTTGCTGTGATGTAATGCTTGAACTGCTCGTGCATAACAACATACACAAAAACCCATACAGCAGTTGAGTTGTGCCATCCGAGCATCGCCCGAGCTGTGGCACTTGGGGATGCCGATTCGGACCCTCTTTTTTTAAAGAACTTGTGCTTGATCACGATATCCTGCAGCAAACCTCCAAACTGCTACGTACTGACCAAGCACACAAGCAATGTACTGCCAGTCGCAGTATGTTTCACCACTTCCCCTCGAGGTGGACATGCTAAACCTACAACAGTACAAGACTCTTTGAACGAACTATTCCGACCATTTTGCGAGCTACCAAATTATGAGACAAGTGGATGCTTTACGATGGGATGCCGGCAGAATTGAAATAGGTGAGACGTTGTTCAGTTCGCTGGATCAGAACCGTTTGGCTCTGTTTGTTGAGGTCATTTTGGGAAGGATGTGTTTTCTTGGTACAGTTTTTCCCCGTGCAAAGAGGGTTTCAGTTGGGTGAAAGATGGCACAGCTCCTCTTCCCCAATGGTGTAGTCATCCTCTTCCGAACGTGAAGGCAATGGCCTGGGGCGGGCGCCCCAGGCCCCGCTCCCGCGCCGCCCAGCGCCCTGCGCAGAGGCGCTGACCATAGCCCACGAGTTGCTCTACGACGAACGAGTGCTGAAAGCTTTTGCCAAGCACGACACCGAGGCCTTGCGAGGCGGGCACGAATTCTTTTTTGGGGTGGCTTGGCTCATTTAGGCTAGGGCGGTCGACCGTTTTGACCATTGGGTTCCCTGGTTCCATTTTTGGAAACCGTCGTTTCGTCATCGCAAAAACTTCACCTTCCTCCAGGTCCTCTGTGAGTGTGCTTGCCATACCTTGGGTCCAAACATGTCCCTGGCACCCAGAGATACGGCGCATTTTGTTGGGCCCCGCGGCTTTTGGTTCCGTGCCTATTGTGTTGCCACACTTACCAACCAATTGGCAAGTGCATTCATAGACCGGTTTTGATTGGGTCATTTGATTGGGCACAGGCTAACCAAAACTGAGTATCCGGGCCTTGGCACTCAACAGACTTTGGATCAATGAGCGAAGGTCGACCCATGTGTACCTTTTCGGAGATCTGTTCTGCATGGATGGTCATTCTGCGCACATGCTGACGCTTCGGAGATACGCCCTTGCAACTCTGTGAGATGTTTTCACTGAAAACAATGCTGCAATGAGGTTACCAGACATGCGGAGCAGTTTCAAGTGAATCCGCGTAGTGGCCTTTGCCGCACCGATCCAGCGAACCTATTTGCATGTGCTGTTTGCAACATAAGCATGGGAGCTCCCAAAGAAGTTAAGATTTTCCGGCAAGCACCAGTTCTTACCTAGGCGGATCCGCTTTGAAGCTCCAGAACCTTTGTGTCCAAATCCATGGCGAATCTTTAATTTCAGAATACAGACAGATTGTAGAGTCACTGACTCTAAACTTTCAGAGTTCCAAGTTTCCAAGCGGGGGATTTTAGCAGAGAAAAACAAAAGATCCGGGGAATATTGAATGAACTCAAGCCTAAAACTTGAAGCTAAACAAGCTTAGCTTGCTCCAGGCAATGAATCGTTCGCTTGGGCATCTTGGGATGCAAAAGGGAGTTCCCCAAAGCGACTTTGGAGAATCGGAAAGTTCCAGCCCTCTTTGAACAGCCTGTTTTGGCTGACCCTGTGCTGTGGAAGCCTAGGGCCTAGCCGTTTTCGGTTGACCTTGCGAATCCGAAGGCCTAGAGGCTTCTCGCCCCACCTCCCTTGGAGCACCTGCGGAGGAGTCGATTTGCCGCGTGGGTCAAAGGGTTGGTTTCACCGTGGCTTCTTTGAACGCAACAAGCCACTATCAGCCTTCTCCTTCTTTCGAGGAGGAGCCACCAATCTGTGCATTTCTTTGGGCATTTTCAGACACGAAGAAACAAGCCCTGGAATCATGTCTGCAAATCGGGGTTGTACCTTGTCTTGGGGTATACCCTTTTTCGTGCTATAGTGGAAGTGTACGGGGAGGATCCCCAAGCAGAAAGCTGTCTTCCCACACCTTCCTTTATTGCTGGCGAGGGGCCAATGGTCAAAATGGACCGAGCCGTTAGCAGCCTGCAAGCTGCCAGCGATGCAGAAGCAAAGCAGCGCAAGTAGTAAAGCGTGGAGGTTTGGACACGGAGTGGATTGGCGAGGCAGAGGGTTCCGCGGCATTTCCGAGGAGGGTTCCGGGGATGGTTCTGAGGAGGGTTCTGGGCATGCGTGGGGCGGTTTCAAGGAGGGTTCGCGGCTGGTGGCTGGTGATGGCACGTGCCCGGAAACAGTCCAAAGAGGAATGCATTTACTGGGAATGGACATGTTTCCGCAGTGTGAAATCTGAATATTTGTTTCACAGCACCGCACGTCCGTGGAACGCAATTGTGGGTCTCTGCTTGTGCTGTGACTTGGATCGTTCTGTTTTTCGATTTTGGCAACTATAGGTTCCATGCGGCAGTCTCAAGGGGTCGCATTTTCCGGATTAGCATGGGCTGCCCCACGGCGCTCTTTTGCAGATAGGTCCAGGGTTGTTAGCCTATCATCTCATCATCTCTATCAAGATTGCCAATTTTGGGACAGATTCTATCCTAGTCCTACTGTGGATGGACGCAATCCTGCACCACCTAAGAAACCCTGGAATGATTCGATTCCCCTGTAAATACCAACCAACAATGGTTTCCCATGGTTTCAACATGGTGCAGGAGTTCGTCCATCCACAGTATGATGCTTGGCTGCTCGGAGGTAAGCCCTCCTTTCCTGTTCGGCAACTTGCGCTTGCCCCCTTTTAAGGCACTAATCCAGGAGTGTCCCAATGTGCCCCAACATGTTTTACACATATTGGTGACGTTCACAACAACGGCATGCACTGAGGGATCCGAGTTGTGGTTCCTTGACCCATGTTTGTGTGGTTCTTACGCTTTGCCATACCTGCTTTACAAGATGCTCACTATACCTGCTATGGTTTCGTGGAAGAACTTGTCGGTGCTTCTTCAATCCAAGCTTGTCACTTTGGTCTGGCAAAGTGGTGCAGGTTTGCTCCATCCACCCACAGTACATCCCCCCTTTCGCTGAAAAGGGCAGAAGCAGCGGCCTCAAGTCGCACATATCTACCAGCACCTTGCAAGGGCGTAGCATGGTACCCTGAGTGCCTTTATCCACTTTTGTGTGGCAATGCATCAGCCCTTGGAAGGTGTTGGTGCCATTTTTGTTGCGTCCCTTGAACCCCAGGGGTCACCATTCCACAGGGGTCACCATTCCAGGAGGCCATGCGCATGCTTGCGGCGGAGGTGCGGCGCCGGGTGGAGGAGCGAGAAGTCGGGTCACAAGTTGAGTGTGAACATCTCGCTCTCTTCAGCCTGCGCAGATCAAGGTATAGATGTGCGATTGTGAAGCCAGACATTGGCATTCTGATTCAGGTCACTTGTCTCCGGGAAAGTGCTTCCTTCATCATCTTCCTCTGCACGCTTGTCTTTCCGGACCAATCTGATCAGCCTCTTTTCCTTCGGGGTCCCTCGGACATGATTGCATGATGAGAACTTCCGCAGCTTAAAGCCCTGTTCACACCTCTTCCTGGCCAGCAACGAGTCAGGAGGTGAGAATACGCGCAATGAAGCCTGTAAACTAGCTCGGAGTGAATGGCGATATCACAAATTGATCCCGTGCTCGATTTGGGGATGCTTCTGCTTCCAGCCTACGGGCCGACAACTGGCCACTGTTTTACGAGTCTTCAAAACGAATTGATTGATGGCGACAGCGCAAAAGGAGAAGCATAAATAAGACCTGTCTACGTCGAATGGTGACTGCACACCCGCTTACCAAATGCAAACGCACACAAGGCCCTGTTTCGCATGCCCTCGACGCAACATCTGCCTTTCGAATCATAAGAGCCTCACTTGTTCTCCTGCGCGCTCTCATAACTGAACATGGCCAAGTTCAATGAGAATAACACTCCATTTAGCTGGGCACGCTGACGTCCGCACAGCAGCTTTTTGAATGATAAGCGCACTTTTTCTACTGCGCGTGCTGATGATTTTGCATCCGCTTGCCGCATAAATGAGAAGGAGGCTGTTCTATTGCCTGATCTCACAACTGAACTTTGCACGCTTACCTCTGAACCACCGCTTGCAAAATGAGAAACTTTTTGCGCCCCATTCGCTCAATCAACTTGTGTCTCAATGAGTAACACTTTGGATTAATGCAGAGGACCCTGCTAGTCAGAGGAACCCCCAAAACCTTGATCAATTCCTAACAAACATCGGGACCGCTTGTGATTAGTACGGTCCTCCGAATGAATCCGAAGCATTCTCAAGCGGATTCGGCCGAGCCTGATTGGTATAGAACCAGGTGGTGATTGGTTCACATCCAGTGACATGCAGGATGGTCAAAAACAAGGGCCCACGTTCACGTTTGGGTCTGCATATTTCGCACAATAGTTTTGCCATACGTGTAGCAATCACCAGAGAGATCAGATTCGCAGCCTGCAAACCACTGGACGGAGTTTAGTCCGTACGCCGAACAACAGATTGGTGGGCTATTATGATTTACCAAGCGCATGAGCGTTAATTGCAGTGGAAGATTTGCGCTGATGTTGGAGTTTGTTGTTCGCACCAATTTGCTGAAGATACCGCAGAGTAGACATGGTAAACTACCTGATTTCAGAGCCTTTGATGGGGGGGAAGGGGATCATCGGCTTGTTGATGGTCCCCTGTCAGTTTCTGTTGTAATTATGCTTTGGCATTCATGTATCCGGTGATGCTAGCAGGATTGCTACTTTAATTTGCTGTTTCATGCGGCAGTCAGGAGGCACGAGAGCGCACCAGCAGGCGAGCTGGGGTCCATTTCGGGGCATTCCAAATGAATGGGGCACATTTAATTTGACGCGTGCCCACTGCAGGCCACACTTGGTGTTTGCCTGCTGTGCATAGTGGCAACAGCTAAAACAGCAAACCAGCATAAGCCTGCGCCTGTTTCCTTTGATTTCATTGGGTGCGAAGCCTCATCCTTCGCATGGCTAACATTGCACGGATGGTTCTTTGGCAAGTGTTTTTAAAGGGATGGTTGCTCTGCAAGAGAGGCGTGATGAGACATGTTACCCGATCCCAAACAATGCTTGTAGACTTGTCGGCTACGTGTGACATATACTTTTGGAGCAGCGTCAATCATGTTGTCAATGTGCCTTTTGTTGACTTGAGGCCCCATTAACTTGAATCGACTTGCTGGTGCTCAGCAGGGAATGAGGGAATGCCCCCTATAAACCATCCCCCATGGTTTCCTTTAAGGGGACCCCTGGGTTCATTCCCACATTCCTTATTGATCAGCAAGTCGACCAACAAGGATTCTTTTTGAAGCCTTCTGACACATGTCCATCCTTTCGCTGATTGCACGAAAACGCCAACATGAACCGTTCGGCAAACGGCAAAAGTGACACCCCTCGAGCCCAAGCACAGACCCCGGCCCATATTGGGTGCACAACGGGTATCTTGAATGCTATTGGGTTCGACATTTAGCCATCAACCCTTTTGAACTTACTTTGCCACCAACCTGCAAACAGTTATTTTTTGGGGGCAGGTATAAACCACCAAAGTATGTATGTTGGCACTTACGCCTAATTCTCGGAGAACTCTACCTGGGGCACAAAGGTTGAACATGAACATTTTTATTTTATTTTTCTCTCTCTCTCTCTCTCTCCCTCTCTTTTGGCGGAACGTAGAAGTTGCTTGCATGTCCAACAAAGCCATCAAAACCCACATAAAGCCTCAGTTCACTTGCATACGTGAGCCCAGTTGGAAACAGAGGTTGCAAAACAAGTGGCGGGAAAGATAAATTGTCAACAAAAGGTTGGGCAACAAGAGGATTGAACAGTAGCGCTCCGCTTTTGCCGATCTCTTCTTTCCACTGGAACCGAGACCCCGACCCGTCCAGGCGCCGGGCCACTTGGAGTTTCTCCGTGCGAGGCGCTGCAAATATGAGGGAGTGTGCGCATTTACGTATTTGTTCGAGTTTGCTTTGCTCTATGGTTCGGTTTGGTTTGGTTTTTCTTTTGTGTGCTGCTTTGGTTTGCTTCGCCTTGGCTTGCTTTGCCTTTGTTGTTCAGTCTGCTTTGGTTGCTGCGGTCTGGTTGGGTCGCTTAGCTTTGGCTTTTGTTTGTAGGCACGTCGGCCAGGAGAAGGTGAGGGCTCCTCGCAGCCGAGGATCAAGCCAGATCCCTGGCGTTTTCGTGGGTTCGGGATGTCCAAAGACGAAGTCGAGATAGCTACAGGTCAAAACAGGGACTCTTTCATGGGGACGGTAGAAAAGAAAGCCGGAATAAATCCAACCATTTTGTAGGTTGTCCTATTTTACGCATGTGTTCAGACATAATACCGACTTGGCGCTTAAGGGCTCTCGGCGTTTCGAAGCTGCGAATTGGTGAGTGACAGGTTTTAAGTGTAACTGGTCTGTGGTTTGGTCGCGTGGCCCTGTTATTATCAAGCTGTTTGGTATGGATTTGCTAAGCTGTTTGGTAATTGTTTTTTGAGCTGTATTGATGGGGTGAAAGCCACATACTTGGCAGCCGTTAAGCCACTTGTAGGGGAGTTCGGCTGTTTGATTGGTTTAATTCGTTGATTTGTGTGGGGTTGTGCTGTGAAGCTGTGCGGCTGGTTGGCTGTTGAATTGCTGTTGAATTTGACACATTGGACCTGCCTGAATCCCAGGTTTCGCATTGCCACTACAGTGCCCCAAAATTGCAACGGGAAGCATAGCACAGGGAGATGAGTGACTCCTGGGGTGCGTCACTACCATGTCATTTTACAAGTCAACCACGCCTAGTTATTCAGTCTGGATTGAAGTGAATCCCCTCCAAATTAACCAGAGGTTTCACTTCTGACAGGGCATCGCTCTTGTCGACTGCCAGAGATTCGTGAAGATGGCATTTTCCTGAGCAAGGAGTTTCAGACAAATGCCACATAAGCAATGGAGAGAAGTCGGGAGAAGTCATGTTTGTGTGATGTGTCTTCTCGGCAGCAATGCCCAGGCTGTTTGAAAGCTTCATGTCATAGCAAGCACCGAACCAATGCGATGCACTGGCTTCCGACTTCCGCCCCACTCAGTGGCCTTTTGCTTCCCTCAAAGTCAATGGCGACTTTCGTTGGAGACATGGCAATGTATTCTTCTTTATTCGATCCAGTCTGGGACCAACACCAATTGTTTCTGGCCTGCTCAATTCTTTTTTCTTTTGAAGGAACCAAATTGACATGGGCAAATCGATATCTGCAAACATCCAGTCTCTCAACAATCCTCCAGCACACACATGGGAGAGGGTCGGAAAGACCATTGTCTCGGGCCGGATGGTCTTTGGTGTGACCTCAGCTAGCCCCTTAGACCTCTCAAGAGAAACACAAAAGACTTTTCCACGAAGCCAAAGGTTAGAACTTGAGCACTCCAGCATGGTTGTGGGAAACAAGAGTCCTTCAGGTCGTCCAAGTCCATGCCACTGGAGGCATGGCCAAAAGCGCAGCAGGGGGTCTGCTTGCACAAGGTGGCTGTGAGTTTTAAGGAACACACATCGCAAGTGGTTGTTGGACATGAAACCGGAGGGTCCCTCAAAGGGTTCATTTGGTTTGTGCGTCATGGACCAAAACGATCAAAAGGTCGGCAATTTGTTTGGTCTTTCGGACAGGCTATCTTAAACATTTGTTTCATGCGCTTTTTCGCCAATGCATGGCCCCACCACGTCTGTGACTTACTGTTCCAGTTTAGCAGATCCTGTCAAGAGCCCTGGCATCCATCCTGATATCTGCCGTCAAAGGCTTCATGGTGAGTGAGTGTACAGCATGCAACCCAAGCAACATCATGTCCGGGTGGGGGTGGGGTTAAGCTATCCACGTTGGAATGCGTTCCGCATGCCATGGAAGTCCAAATGTCCTGCATCGAGAGCACCTTTTCGTCGGCACTTGGCAGGACTCCAAATGATGAGCTTTGCAGGTTGTACATAGTGAGCTCGTATCGTCTACAAACAATTTACCGCCAGGTCGACAGCTGTGCCACTTATCCACAAGTGTACGTCTTTCTGCCCGAGTCTGCGCTGGCGTGCATGATCGTCATCATCGGCATCCACCCTTGTCGTCGTCATTGTCCTCCTCGTCCTCTGGGTCTCTTCTTCATTGCCTGCATTGTTTTTGCTGTTGCTGTTGTGGTGGTTGTCGCCGTTGTCGTGGTTGTCCTGATTGCTGTGGTTGTCGTGGCTGTTGCGGTCAATGTTGCTTGTGCTGCTTTCGCTGCTGCTGCGTTTGCTGCTGCTGCTGCTGCTGCTGCTGCTGCTGCTGCTGCTTTTGTTGTTGCCTTCATTGTTGTTGTTGTTGTTGTTGTTGTTGCTGCTGCTGCTGCTGCTGCTGCTGTTGTTGTTGTTGTTGTTGTTGTTGTTGTTGTTGTTGTTGTTGTTGTTGTGGTTGTCGTTGTCGTTGTCGTTGTCGGTGTCGGTGTCGGTGTCGGTGTCGGTGTCGTCGTCGTTGTCGTTGTTGTGTCGTTGTTGTCGTTGTCGTTGTCGTTGTTGTTGTCGTTGTCGTTGTCGTTGTCGTTGTCGTTGTTGTTGTGTTGTCTGTTGTGTTGCTGTTGTTGTTGTTGTTGTTGTTGTTGTTGTTGTTGTTGTTGTTGTTGTTGTTGTTGTTGTTGTTGTTGTTGTTGTTGTTGTTGTTGTTGTTGGTGTTGGTGTTGGTGTTGGTGTTGCTGTTGGTGTTGGTGTTGGTGTTGGTGTTGGTGTGGTTGTGGCTGTGGTTGGTTGTTGGTTGTTGGTTGTTGGTTGTTGGTTGTTGGTTGTTGGTCGTTGGTCGTTGGTCGTTGGTCGTTGGTCGTTGGTCGTTGGTCGTTGTTGTTGTTGTTGTTGTTGTTGTTGTTGTTGTTGTTGTTGTTGTTGTTGTTGTTTTCTTTGTTGTTTGTTGTTTCTCGTTTCTTGTTTGTTGTTTGTTGTTTGCTGTTTGTTGTTTGTTGTTTTTGTTTTTGTCGTTGTTGTTGTTGTTGTTGTTGTTGTTGTTGTTGTTGTTGTTGTTGTTGTTGTCGTTGTTGTTGTTGTTGTTGTTGTTGTTGTTGTTGTTGTTGTTGTTGTTGTTGTTGTTGTTGTTGTTGTTGTTGTTGTTGTTGTTGTTGTTGGTGTTGGTGTTGGTGTTGTTGTTGTTGTTGTTGTTGTTGTTGTTGTTGTTGTTGTTGTTGTTGTTGTTGTTGTTGTTGTTGTTGTTGTTGTTGTGGTTGTGGTTGTGGTTGTGGTTGTGGTTGTGGTGGTGAGGGCGGTTGGTTGGTTTGGTTGGTTGGTTGGTTGGGTGGTTTGTTGGTTTGTTGGTTGGTTGACTGGATGGCTGGCTGGCTGGCTGGTTGGTTGGTTGACTGGTTGGCTTGTTGGTTGGTTGGTTGGTTGGTTGGTTGGTTGGTTGGTTGTTGGTTGTTGGTTGTTGTTATTGCTGTTGTTGTGGTGGCGGCGGCAGCAGCGCTGGTCGTCGGCGCCTACGGCCTCGTCGTCGTCGTGATTGCTGTCGGCATCGTTGTCGTCCTGGTCGTCGCCACTGTCGTCGTCGTTGTTTTCGCCGCAGTCGCAGCAATTGTCATTTACTGACAGGTGCTGCGTGCCAATAGTTCTTGGAATGGAGTAAACGGCTGGTATGCTCCAAGCGCACACCACGTGATGGAAGTCCAAGCGCGCACCACATGATGGAAGCTTACAGCGCCTTTCTGTGATCATAGCAAGTCTAGTACTTGATCTACTTGATCTGGATGAAGTGCAATCTTGATGTTTCATTCTTTGCCAATGGAGATGTTTGTTCCAAGGCTGCTTGGCCGATGCCGATGTTTGGGGCCCGCAAGCGCAAAGGCAAGCCGGAGCATGTTTTTGGGTAGTTGCCCTATGAAAGGTGAGACACGATGGAGAGGTACCAGTTCTCTCTTTGGCGAAGTTTGGCGCAGGCTAACCAAGCTCGTAGATCCACTCCACTGTCACACCAAAGTCTTGACTTAGATTGCGCTTGCAACACATTTTCTACCAGCCAACATTATTTTGACAAGTTATTCCATACAATAACACCTCCACCGTGGTGAAACTTTTTCGGCTGCAGGCATTGCATCATTTGCGCATTTCAGCCATTCTTTACTGTTCTTGAACATTCGTTTCGGAAGTGCTCTGGTTTAGCCTCAACCTTGGAAAGCGAAAGATGTGTGTCAAATGCTCCGTCGTGTCCCCGTGGAGGTAAATGGCAGCTTCAGCGCTGATTTGGAGGTTGCAGATGCGGTCGGTGTGGGCGACTGGAATGTGGGGACCGTTCCGATGTTTGAAATGCTCCTGCACCGCTGTAGACCCAAAGTCCTCGCCAAGTGATTCGGTCTGTAGCCCTCATGACCATTGAGCTATGATAAAGGTTCCTTTACCAGGGCCGTGTCTACTTGTTTAGTAAGGGCCTGCACCATGGATTCTTGTTGTTTTTTTGGCAAGGCTTCGCATGGAAGGAGCCGAACATGGTTAATTAGTGTTGATGCTCGCATGAGAACGACATTGACAGCCGGAACGACATCTGCACCGACATAGGGATACGTACGGGAGATATGAGGTATGTTATATTTGCGCTTTTGCTGACAATCCTTTCTGGGCAGGCTGTGCTGGACAAATGATCGTGAGCGCAGGAATTTGTTTCGGTGTGATTTGCAGGACTCTTGCGAGTGCCCAAGCATTGTTGCAGTCATGAAGCAGCAGAGCAACAGTCGCAACAATCAATCAGCAACAGACATTTCCTCCACAGAGCTTCCTGTGCCAAGAGGTTGCGTGCCAGCTTGCAGGTTTGGCGCAAAACCTGACCAATTTCCCGACCTCAGAACGACATCCGGAACGGCATCAGCAAAACATTTGGAACAATCGCAGGGCACTGGCGTTTGCATCTTTGCATCTTAGCACACTCAGCCCTTTCCGGGCTTCACGTCGCAGGCAGCTATTCAACCCAATATTGCAGAGGCAGTGCCGACAGTTGCTTCAGTAGAGGCGCCCGCTTGGTTGCGTGCCACCACCTCAAGCGAAGAGTAAACACCCATGACATTTGCTACTTGCTACGCAGTTCGCACGTGTTCATCTTCGGGGGGTTCGTTTCAGCTTGGTTTTTCCTCGCTGCGCCTGAGCCGCAAAGTTTGGCTCCAAGGATTGAGTGGAACTCGTCCTATCTCA